TCAGTACCCCTGCATTCAATCTCCAGTACCAAAAAAAAAAAAAAAATCAACTTTGTTTCATTGACCCTTGTAGTATAGTCTCCTTTAGACTTTTATTTATTTCTAGTTCTGCTCTGATCTTTTTAAAAAGAATTTTTTAGTTGTTGATGGATGTTTATTTTATTTATTTATATGTGGTGCTGAGAATCACACATGCTAGGCAAGTACTCTACCACTGAGCTACAACTCCAGCCCCTCTGCTCTCATTTTTCTTTCTTCCCTTCTAATTTCGGATATGATTTTTGTCTTTTAAGAACACTGAAATACATCATTCGTTTTTGTCAAATCTATTTTTTTTTAATGTAGGTACTCATTGCTATAAACTTCCCTCTTAACACTGCTTTTGCTTTTCCCCACAGGTTTTGGTATGCTGTTTGTCCATTTTCATTTGCTTCAAGGAATTTAATTTTTTCCTTGACTTCCTCAATGACCCACTGTTCAAATTGTATTGTTCAATCTCCATGAATTTGCATGACTTCTAAAGTTTCTCTTGCTATTGACTTGTAGTTTCATTCCAATGTGACCCAACAAAGATACAGGGCATGATTTCAATTTTTTTGAATTTGATAAGATTCGTTTTGAGGCCTACTATTTGGTCTATTTCAGAGAAAGTTCTCTGTGCTAGTGAAAATAATGCATATCCTGCACCAGTTGGATGGAATGTTCTGTAAGTCTAAGTCCATTTTATCTATGGTGTAGTTTAACTGATGTTGATTTGCTGATTTTTTTGTCTGGATGCTCTATCCACTGGTGAAGAGTAGGGTGATGAAATCCCCAACTACTATTGTATGACAGCCTATCTCTCCCTTTATATCTAATAGTATTTGCTTTATAAAATCATGTGCTTCACTATTAGATACATAGATTTTTAATCATTTTATCATCTTGATGATTTCTTGATCATTACATAGTAACCTTTTCTCTGTAAAGTCTATTTGCCAGATATAAGTATGGCTCCTCCTGCTTATTTTCACATTCAATCTGCATTCACTTTTCTTCCTTTCACTTTCATTCTGTGACCTTACTAGTGAGGTGAGTTTCTTATAGGTAGCATATTTCTGGGTCTTATTTTTTTTAAATATTTTTTTTAGTTGTAGATGGATAAAATATATTTATTTATTTTTATGTGGTGCTGAGGATTGAACGCAGTGCCTCACACATGCAAGGCAAATGCTCTACCACTGAGCTACAATCCCAGCCCTGGGTCTTATTTTTTTAATCCATTCAGCCAGTCTATGTCCTTTAGTTGGAGAATTAAGACCATCTACTTTTAGAGTTATTATAAAAGGTATGGACTTGTGCCTATAATTGTGTTGATTTTCTTCTAGTTGAATATTGAATATTTCTTCTAGTTTGAATATTATTTCTTTCCCTCTCATTCATATTTGGGTTTGATGGCATACTATATTGATAATTTGTGTATCTTCTACTAGGGCTTTTCATTTTCACATGCTGTCTTGGTGGTAGTAATCTTTTCACCTTTGGGTGAAGGACCCTGAGACATCTTTTGCAAGGCTGGTCTGGTGATCAAGAACTATTTATTTTTTGCTTATCTTGGAAGGTTACTATTTCTGCTTTGATTCTGAATAGCTTTGCTGGGTACAGTAATCATGACTGGCAGTTAATTCTATTAGGACTTGAAATACATCATTCCATACCCACCTGGAATACAGGGTTTCTGCTAAGAAATCTGTTGTGAATCTAATCGAGTTGCCCTTAAGTGTGACTTGGCCTTTTTTCTCCTGCACATTTTTAAATTCTTTGCCCTGTACTTTGACAGTTTTGCTGATTTTATGTTGTGATAAGAATCTTTTTATGTTGTGATAAGAATCTGATTATATGTTGTGATAAGAATCTTTTTTGATCATGTTTATTTGGAGTTATAAAGGACTCTTGTGCTTGATTTACCATATCTTTCCCAATATTAGGTAAGTTTTGTGTTATTACTTTATTGAATATGTTTTCTATGTTTCTTAACTTTTATTTCTTCCCTTTTGGATATGTTGATAAGCTGGACATTTTATCTTCTAAAAGTGTCCCAAGGATCCTATGCATTTTCTTCTTTCTCATTTTTTCCTTTATTCTTTTGAAAGTGACATTTCAAAAGATGTTTTCAAGCTCTTGATATTTTTCCACCTGATCTAGTCTAATGAAACTTTCAACTGTATTTATAGCAATTGCATTTATACTAATAAAGCTTTTCATTTCCAAAGTTTCTCTTTGCTGAATTTCTCATTCATATCCTATAATGTCTTCCTAATAAGTTCATTGAACTTTTTGTGTTCTCTTGGATCTCACTGAGCTTTAAAAAGATCACTTTTTGAATTCTTGATTAGGCATGTCTTCCTTTTTGACATATTTGGAATTTGTTACTAAGGGAGTTATCAACCTATTTAAGAAGCATGATATTGCCGCGTTTGTCCATATTTCTTGTGTTTCTATGTTTAAGTTGATACAACTGATGACATGAATATCTATCACTTTTATGGATGGCCTTCATAAGCCAAGGCCTCTAGAAGATGTATTGGGGTATCAATTTGTTATGTAAATTGTTATTTCCAGTTGGGACCCATACAGAGAAACTCTCTATGGGCTGCACCAGAATGGGGGGAATCTAGCAATCCAGGCAGATATGGTAAAAGTAGCAGAGTGTGTGGGATGCACCCTGGTCATTCCTACAATGGGAATAATAGCCCCTACTGGGTAATATGGGTTTCCTTAGGCACTGCTGATACTGGCTGTTACTTGAATGAGTCTCTAGTACTGGCTGCTCAAGTAGTGGTGAAGCGCTTTGAAGCACTTGTCCCCTTGATTAGATACCACTGTGGGTCCAGTTGCTTCAAAGGGATAGATGGAAGCAGGAATCACAACACGCTCTCTATTGCATTTACATCCAGTCTTGACAGTGGTGCATGATCACATGAAGTGTGGGGCAAATGATACAGGGGACCCACATAAGTGCAAATGCAAGAAAAGTGTTATTCCTCTCTGCTGTTACTGTGGGTATGTCTGCCAAAAAGCAGGACCCCAGACTCCCCCTAGATATGCACACCTATGGATAGTTATAGTGTCTGCCAGGAAGTAAGTGGGTGAGAACCTCTCACTTACTACCAGTGTCCCAAACTACCCGAGCACCACCTGCATTCACTCTAGGAACTAGGGAAGGTCCTTTCCCTGGCCCACAGCCTTTGGACTGCTGCCGCAAAAAATCCTTAACTTACCCATGCCTGTCTCATGGGTCTTGGGCCAGATTCCCTCTATGCCCCAACTAGATAAAAAGCCTGAAATCTGTAGAGTAGACTGACTTTGGAGAAAGAGCACTGTAGATGGAATCCATGTTCAGAAGGGATCTATTGTCTGAATTTGGACTGTTCGGGTGGGTCTGGAAATCCCTGTATAGCCCTATCTCTGAGAACCTACAGATACCCCACTGCATTGGCTCTGTGGGTGGCTTCCTCACAAGTCAGACATGGTTTGGTGGAATGTCTGTGACACAAAACCCCTGAGAATACTGGAGTTGGGAACAAGTACTAAGATGCGCAAGAGTAAAGGTTGCTATCTCATAAGAACCAGGGGAGAGGAAAACCTGCCTTCTAAGATCAGGATGGCCAGGAGGTATAGTTTCATGCAGGTGTCAGGATTGAGGGCAACTACCTGCTCATTTCCCGCCACCCTTATTTCAGTGCTATTCATGGACCTGTTGGCCACTATGGCCCCAGCTGTAACCCTGCCTAAGAAGGTTCAGAGAAAAACTCTACCCATTAACACTACACTCCATTTCCCCCTTACACCTGATAATTCCTCAACTGTGAGGAGTTTTACCTGGCTTCTGCTGAGGCCCAATCCCACTCAGTCCCTGGGAGGTAGAACAAAAGAAATGAGGAATCTGAGCCCTGGCTGTTACTACACTTTCAGGGTACATAGTCTAAGAAGATTGGGAGAGAAACATCCTGGCATTCTACTTTTACTCTCTCCTGAGAGCCTTGAAGCTGCAAGATGCTTAGGGAGCTGTCTTTGGTACTATGAGATGCACATAGGCCTAAGGCTTCTGGCAGTGTCAGGGGGCTAGCTGTTGGCTCCTTAGACAGGATGGTGTCTGATGGTAGCTAGTAGTGGCTATTGTACCAGCTTGGATTCTGAGGGTTGGACAAGGCCCAAAGTGAGTTACTTTTTTGGAGTAGAGCAATCCCTGTTAGATAAGCCAGTTCCCCAAATTGAATTTAAAGTCTGTGAGGACCAAGAAATTCTCCTACAATAAAAACTACTGGTCTGCTGCTGTTAATGGGGTTGCTAAAATTGTGGGGCTCTTCCCTCCTGCAACCCTAGCCAATAGGGAGACAGGGCTAAAGTTGCAATTTGTTTTTTTCTCTAGGCTGCCTTTCTGACTCTCCATGATGTTTAAAGTTCCCATCATTTCTTTGCTGATTTCCAGAATTCTCCCCCAAAATTACTCTCCTCAAAATACAGGGGTATTTTTGTTGCCCTGGTTCTTCTCTATGGCAGAATTGCATATAAGAACCTCTATTTAGCCATCTTGGATCCTCTCTCCACAAATTTATGTCTTTTTCCTTGATTAAAAAGCTAATTCTCATCAATGAAAAAATTAGCACAAAATCTTCCAAAGTAAATTAAAAGCAGGCTTCCAGCTTAGCCAACTGTTATATCATCAATTGATTTCTCAAATTATCATTCATATAAAAGAACAAATGACACAATTTAAAACTTTGCTGAGTATTCTTTTGGTAGTCACTAGTGGGATATCCATAAAATTCTATTTCATTCCATCAGAAATTTATTTTGCTATTAAATGGAATTTTGAAGGGTAGGAAAAAAAATTCCTGTTAAGTTACAACAAAGATTCATTAAAGATATGAACCAAGATCTTTAACCACATGAAACTTAAAAATCTATTCAGCTTTTTAAGAAAAAAATGAATTCTGGAACATTAAAATATCTTTTACCTCGTAATGAACAAACTGGTCCATTTTCTTGATTTTTAGAGCGCTTACTTCTGAACTGACTTGGAATATCCAATGAAAGGTCTTAAAATGAAATAGGAAAACACAAGATTTGTTAAAGGAATATAACTTCTCAAAAAATAATCTTGAAAATAGGTGTATTTATAAAGATTTTTTTTCCTTTGAAAAATAATACCATAAACATTAAAATTATTATTTTAATAAAACAGCATATATGCATATGTCAAGTATGTCTTACCTAGAAATGGATCAAATTTCCTTGACTCTGTCCCACATATGAGGCAGTTGACCTCATTCTGGAGAATGCCTCCAAATATAGCCGTAACAACAGTTGATGCTCCATTTCTGAAGAAAACACCATATGGGAAACATCTCACTAAAAACCACTTCTTTGGAAGAATATGTATATAATTTATATTTATTTAAATTATGAACTAAAAACATCAAAGCTATATATACATATACTAAATAAAAGGTTTAAGTTACTGGTCTTCCCCTTCTAATCCTGCTACTTTCTCCATAAACAACTAACACTTATATACATGATGTATTTGTATTAACAACAAATGTATATGTATGGCAAGATACCCCTTCCACCACCTGCCCTCACATATCCCTCAGAAAGGAGGAAACTGCTATATATTTGAATCTTTGCAACACTTCTCATAATGCACTGAATTCTTACAACTACTAGACTTTTAATGTTATCCTCAGTCTGAAGAAATTTAATGCAAATTTAGTATTTACTGCTAGATGTATAACTTAAATTGAAAGTGCTGAGTATAACTGTTGAAAAACCTTTTTTAAAAGTTCACAAAAAATAAGACTAATTTTCTTATAGAGATCAGAAATATATAAATTTAAGAACAATGAAAAATGTTACATAAGCCCTTTGTGCCTCTGCTATAGCAAATGTACACAGGATAACAGGAACAGCACCTACCCCAGAGGCCTGATGTGACAATGAAATGTGTTATAAATATACTTTAGAAGAGTGCTTTTAGCAAAAAGAAACCATTTGAAGTATTTGTCATTGTTTTATTAGCACAAAGTCAGATTACACCTGCTATTTGCTTCCCCTGCCCCCTCCAAGTATATATCTTCATCATCATGTACCTCTGATAGCTTCAGTGTGTCACAGCAGGGACATACCATGGGCTCAAAAGGGCACCAACGAGAGCAGGAATAGCAAGCACCTGTAAAGTACTATTTTGTAGGCTCCTTTCTGAGAATCCTCACAATAGCTCTATAAGGTAGATACTGGTATCTTCATTTTACAGACTAGGAAGCTGAGGCCAGGGGTAAAGTGGCTTGTCTCAAGGTCTGGCCTGAGCATCTGCTCTTAACATTATATTCCTTCTCTTAATTTAACCAAGATAATATTAATAGATATTGAAATGACTTCAGTTTTTGCTATCATCAATAGTACTACAATGAATGCCTTATGCACTTACTTAAGACAGAAAACACCTTTTGCTATTAACAATTTAAGGTGGTTTCTATCACTTAAAATTCAGTTGTACTTTCTGAGTCACTCCAATTAACCTTACTGCAATGATAAAACAAACAAAAAAACCCAAGCAATTTTTCTATTTGAAAACTTTGATTCCTTTTCAAGGAAAGGCTTCCTTACTTGACTGGTAGAAGAAAAAGATTGATTTTATTATTTTAAAAAGAGTTCATAAGACACACTGGCTTTAGTAAATTAAAAAATGGAAGATACACTGAGAACCATAGACATTTCAGACTTATACTTGTGTCATAAATAAAGAATGTACCCAAAAACTACCTACTACAAATGGTGGAGCTATAACTGACCCTTTTATACTGATGGTCACATTTAACTTTATCTTTAATTAAAATGGAACTGGTTACTCCATTAAAAAGCAGTATATTTAAACTTAACATAGCTCGCTCTTCTTTTATAATCACTTCCTATGAGAAATCAAGTTTTGGCTATCTGAAGTATATAATGTACCATGACTTAAAAAAAGATTCATAAATTTCAGAATTGCTGTTGCATTATATTAAAACTGTATTCCAAGAGAGCTTAAATACTGAGGCTCTTACAGGACTGGGGTCCTTTCTATTACACTTAACAACTTTCTACATTAAAAAGAATACATCTGCCATTTTTTATCCCCCCTTCAGTGGGAGTGGGTGTATTTATATGAGTAAACAGAGATATTGCATATGGGATATTTTTCTATTTTCAGCAAATAAACATAGATCCTGAAATACCTCCTCCCATGTGCACTGAAGGAAATAAAAGGAACAGTGAATTTTTAATATTTGATTATATATATTTTTTCTTTCTATTCCCAACTCAAAAATGGAACTTGCAATTACTATTCGTTAAAAATGTCAAGAAAAGGTATAGACTAACACTGAAAACTCAGAACTAAAAGAACATCCTACATTATTACACAAGGGTGTCCTGGGCATCATATAAAATAATAAATTTCACAGTCTACCCATTTTAGAACCCGGTTCAATATCCATTGTGTATCAATATGCTATGATATAATACAAACAAATTTTCATTTAATATATACATCTTTAATTTGGTGCTAGCAAGAAAAACAATTTTCCTTTCCTTTCTATATGGGAGTCTAAATGGTGTCACAGCTACTAGAACCTGGAGGGACAAACCTTTTGAGAATTAATGGCAATTCACATCAGTTGCCTTTCTCTGATAATGCCAGATTAGATGTGAGGCTGCTTTGTCATTAAAAAGATCAAGTCTTGCTGAGCACAGTAGTGCACGCCTATAATTCCAATGTCTTAGGAAGCTGAAGCACATGGATCACAAAGTTCAAATCCAGCCTCAGCAACTTAGTGAGACCCAAGCAATTTAGTGAGACCCTATCTCTAAATATAAAAAAGAGCTAGGGGTTATGGCTCAGTGGGTAAGTGCCCATGGTTCAATCTCCAGTACCAAGAGGAAAAAAAAATCAAGTCTTACTAAACCACGTTTATTTTATGTATTACTCTTCTTTTTCTTTGAGGGAGTCTTATAAATCCCTTTCCTATATAAATCAGTACTGACAATTTTTTTTTAATTTGAATAAAATAAAACTATAATTGACCAAAATCCAGGCTTAAATAACTAAGTCACTCCTTCTTTAAGCAAAATAAATTCTCTGGTCTGAAAGCATATTTTGGGCTATAAGAAAGTGGTTTGTTTTTATTAATGTTGAGAGGCAAGTAAAAAATAGAGAACTTAAAAAAAAATTCCTCAGTTTCATTTAAGAAGATAGACTTTAGAAAAATTCACATTCTTTTAAGCTTTTTTGTTTGGTAAATATATAATTATTTTGTTATAAAAATTAAGTCTAAGACTAGGGCAGGGATTGTGGCTTAGTGGTGGATTATTTGCCTCACATGCGTGAGGCACTGGGTTCAATTCTCAGCACCATGTGTAAATAAATAAATAAAATCAAAGATCCATCAACAACTAAAAATTTTTTTTAAATTAAGTCTACATATTATTCAACACAATACTCATATTTTTTCTATTTCATTTTTAAATAATCTATCAAAAACAATCAGAACTATATTAAAATGCAAATACAAGACTCCTCTAATCTGGAAGCAAGACATGTTAATATGTTAGTCCATTTCACAAAGTTCAAGTCCATTTGGTGCACGAAAGTTTCAGCAAATGTCCAGCTAACCCCTCCATCTTCTATAATCTAACACATAGTTACACCATTACACCAATAGAAATGTCAGAGGTCCTCCGAAAAAAAAGAAAAACCAAAAGAAAACTAAATCTTACATGCAGCATTTGTTACTTGCAGGCAGAGTAGAATTCTCCTGCAGAATTGCTGAGCGGGAAACTCCATTGAAACCACCCTGAAGTTCCAAGTGTAGGTGGTCCAAAAGGTAGCGCATGAATTCATGGGCATCCTGCTGCTGATAGCCCCTTGAAGCAAAAAGAAACAGTTATGTGGAAGGCTCTGCCTGCCCAGCCAAACACTGGGGGTGAAAGGGTGGGGCAGGCAAAGTGCCTGGAAGGACTGCAGCCATATGGTCACAAGAACACCAAGTCTTCATCACCCTTTACCCCACTAGCTCTACATAATACATAAAATTTCTCTTCCAAACAGAATTTGCTACGTAAAAATAAGCTTAAAAACCACTGAACATTAGAGCTAATTGAATTTGTAATGGTATCCTCAACTGCTTCTCTGCTTTAGAGAGGAGAATACCGAGAGGCAAAAAAAAAAAAAAAAAAAAAGTCTCCTGAATAGTTGCTGAAACGTCCTACTATCCCATATAGAGCCTCTCTAGAAAAGGCTCAAATGTTAAAATTTCACATCTTACTCTCATCAGAAAACTAGACATAAACGACCACTTTAAGAAATAAAGAATTTAGAACTCCTTAGATAGAAAAATACTGATTTTTAAAAATTTGAACAAAATTAAACTATAATTGACCAGAATCTAGGCTGAGATAGCTAAGTCATTCCTTCTCTCTGAAAGAAAGGAAGAAAAACCTTACACAAAGAGTTAAAGATGTCTTTAACATTCTATAGTTGCATCTTAATCTCCAATCCAAAAAGACAAAATACTTTTTTAAAATGCATTGACTCTTATACAATTGTGACATTCCTATATTATATCTTACATATATGCAGCCAGGATGTTACATGGAATTCTTACACTGATACAGAGAAGTGGTAAGAAAACACTGAAAACAGACAGAAAAGTGACACATTTGGAAGGTTTGGGGCTAGTCATATTAAAAAAAAAATCAAGCAATGATATATAAAATACATTCATAAAACCATAGTAAAAAGGACTTCTGTCTACATTTTGCCAGCATAGAAGTTTCCTTGTAATCAATCTAAATCTTCTTTTTTTTTAAATTTTTTATTGTTGGTTGTTCAAAACATTACATAGTTCTTGACATATCATATTTCACACTTTGATTCAAGTGGGTTATGAACTCCCATTTTTACCCCATATACAGATTGCAGGATCATATCAGTTACACATCCACTGATTTACATGTTGCCATACTAGTGTCTGTTGTATTCTGCTGCCTTTCCTATCCTCTACTATCCCCCCTCCCCTCCCCTCCCCTCTTCTCTCTCTACCCCCTCTACTGTCATTCATTTCTCCCCCTTGTATTATTTTTCCCTTTCCCCTCACTTCCTCTTGTATGTAATTTTGTATAACCTTGAGGGTCTCCTTCCATTTCCATGCAATTTCCCTTCTCTCTCCCTTTCCCTCCCACCTCTCATCCCTGTTTAATGTTAATCTTCTTCTCATGCTCTTCGTCCCTACTCTGTTCTTAGTTACTCTCCTTATATCAAAGAAGACATTTGGCATTTGTTTTTTAGGGATTGGCTAGCTTCACTTAGCATAATCTGCTCTAATGCCATCCATTTCCCTGCAAATTCTATGATTTTGTCATTTTTTAATGCAGAGTAATACTCCATTGTGTATAAATGCCACATTTTTTTTAATCCATTCGACTATTGAAGGGCATCTAGGTTGGTTCCACAGTCTTGCTATTGTGAATTGTGCTGCTATGAACATCGATGTAGCAGTGTCACTGTAGCATGCTCTTTTTAGGTCTTTAGGGAATAGACCGAGAAGGGGAATAGCTAGGTCAAATGGTGGTTCCATTCCCAGCTTTCCAAGAAATCTCCATACTGCTTTCCAAATTGGCTGCACCAATTTGCAGTCCCACCAGCAATGTACAAGTGTACCCTTTTCCCCACATCCTCACCAGCACTTGTTGTTGTTTGACTTCATAATGGCTGCCAATCTTACTGGAGTGAGATGGTATCTTAGGGTGGTTTTGATTTGCATTTCTCTAACTGCTAGAGATGGTGAGCATTTTTTCATGTACTTGTTGATTGACTGTATGTCCTCCTCTGAGAAGTGTCTGTTCAGGTCCTTGGCCCATTTGTTGATTGGGTTATTTGTTATCTTATTGTCTAATTTTTTGAGTTCTTTGTATACTCTGGATATTAGGGCTCTATCTGAAGTGTGAGGAGTAAAGATTTGTTCCCAGGATGTAGGCTCCCTATTTACCTCTCTTATTGTTTCTTTTGCTGAGAAAAAACTTTTTAGTTTAAGTAAGTCCCATTTGTTGATTCTAGTTATTAACTTTTGTGCTATGGGTGTCCTATTGAGGAATTTGGAGCCCGACCCCACAGTATGTAGATCGTAGCCAACTTTTTCTTCTATCAGACGGCGTGTCTCTGATTTGATATCAAGCTCCTTGATCCATTTTGAATTAACTTTTGTGCATGGCGAGAGAAAGGGATTCAGTTTCATTTTGTTGCATATGGATTTCCAGTTTTCCCAGCACCATTTGTTGAAGATGCTATCCTTCCTCCATTGCATGCTTTTAGCCCCTTTATCAAATATAAGATGGTTGTAGTTTTGTGGATTGGTTTCTGTGTCCTCTATTCTGTACCATTGGTCCACCCGCCTGTTTTGGTACCAGTACCATGCTGTTTTTGTTACTATTGCTCTGTAGTATAGTTTGAAGTCTGGTATCGCTATACCGCCTGATTCACACTTCCTGCTTAGCATTGTTTTTGCTATTCTGGGTCTTTTATTTTTCCATATGAATTTCATGATTGCTTTCTCTATTTCTACAAGAAATGCCGTTGGGATTTTGATTGGCATTGCATTAAACCTATAGAGAACTTTTGGTAATATCGCCATTTTGATGATGTTAGTTCTGCCTATCCATGAACAGGGTATATTTTTCCATCTTCTAAGATCTTCTTCTATTTCTCTCTTTGGGGTTCTGTAGTTTTCATTGTATAAGTCTTTCACCTCTTTTGTTAGGTTGATTCCCAAGCATTTTATTTTTTTTTTGAAGATATTGTGAATGGAGTGGTTGTCCTCATTTCCATTTCAGAGGGTTTGTCGCTGATATACAGGAATGCCTTTGATTTATGCGTGTTGATTTTATAGCCTGCCACTTTGCTGAATTCATTTATTAGCTCTAATAGTTTCTTTGTAGACCCTTTTGGGTCTGCTAGGTATAGAATCATGTCACCTGCAAATAGTGATAATTTAAGTTCTTCTTTTCCTATTTTGATGCCTTTAATTTCTTTCGTCTGTCTAATTGCTCTGGCCAGTGTTTCGAGAACTATGTTGAACAGAAGTGGAGAGAGAGGGCATCCCTGTCTTGTTCCAGATTTTAGAGGGAATGCCTTCAATTTTTCTCCATTCAGAATGATGCTAGCCTGAGGCTTAGCATAGATTGCTTTTACAATATTGAGGTATGTTCCTGTTATCCCTAGTTTTTCTAGAGTTTTGAACATAAAGGGATGCTGTACTTTGTCAAATGCTTTTTCCGCATCTATCGAGATGATCATATGGTTCTTATTTTTAAGTCTATTGATGTGGTGAATAACATTTATTGATTTCCGTATATTGAACCAGCCTTGCATCCCAGGGATGAATCCTACTTGATCATGGTGCACAATTTTTTTGATATGTTTTTGTATCCGATTCGCCAGAATTTTATTGAGGATTTTTGCATCTAGGTTCATTAGAGATATTGGTCTGTAGTTTTCTTTCTTTGAAGTGTCTTTGTCTGGTTTAGGTATCAGGGTGATGTTGGCCTCGTAGAATGAATTTGGAAGTTCTCCCTCTTTTTCTATTTCCTGAAGTAGCTTGAAAAGTATTGGTATTAGTTCCTCTTTAAAGGTTTTGTAAAACTCTGCTGTATACCCATCCGGTCATGGGCTTTTCTTAGTTGGTAGTCTTTTGACGGTTTCTTCTATTTCCTCAATTGATATTGGTCTGTTTAGGTTGTCTATATCCTCCTGACTCAATCTGGGCAGATCATATGACTTAAGAAATTTATCGATGCCTTCACTATCTTCTAATTTATTGGAGTATAAGGATTCAAAATAATTTCTGATTATCTTCTGTATTTCTGAAGTGTCTGTTGTGATATTGCCTTTTTCATCCCGTATGCTAGTAATTTGAGTTCTCTCTCTTCTTCTCTTCGCTAGCATGGCTAAGGGTCTGTCGATTTTATTTATTTTTTCAAAGAACCAACTTTTAGTTTTGTCAATTTTTTCAATTGTTTCTTTTGTTTTGATTTCATTAATTTCAGCTCTGATTTTAATTATTTCTTGCCTTCTACTTCTTTTGCTGTTGTTTTGCTCTTCTTTTTCTAGGATTTTGAGATGAAGTATGAGATCATTTATTTGTTGGTTTTTCCTTTTTTTAAGGAATGAACGCCTAGCAATGAATTTTCCTCTTAGAACTGCTTTCAATGTGTCCCATAGATTCCGATATGTTGTGTCTGTGTTTTCATTTATCTCTAAGATTTTTTTAATTTCCTCCTTGATGTCTTCTATAACCCATTGATCATTCAGTAACCTATTGTTCATTCTCCAAGTGATGCATGATTTTTCCTTCCTTCTTTTATCGTTGATTTTCAGTTTCATTCCGTTATGATCAGATAAGATGCATGGTATTATCTCTACTCCTTTATATTGTCTAAGAGTTGCCCTGTGACATAATATATGATCTATTTTTGAGAAGGATCCATGTGCTGCTGAGAAAAAAAGTGTAACTGCTTGATGTTGGGTGGTATATTCTATATATGTCAATTAAGTCTAGGTCATTAATTGTGTTATTGAGTTCTATAGTTTCCTTATTCAACTTTCGTTTGGAAGATCTGTCCAGTGGCGAGACAGGTGTGTTGAAGTCTCCCATGATTATTGTATGGTGGTCTATTAGACTCTTGAACTTGAGAAGAGTTTGTTTGATGAACATAGCTGCACCATTGTTTGGGGCATATATATTTATGATTGTTATGGCTTGTTGGTGTATGGTTCCCTTGAGCAGTATGTAGTGTCCCTCTTTATCCCTTTTGATTAACTTTGGCTTGAAATCTATTTTATTTGATATGAGTATGGATACTTCTGCTTG